ACAGAATAAATGAATAATAAATTTCAAAGACTTATCTGGTTAAAGTTCAGGTAAATGTATTAATTTAGATATTATATCTATTTATTTTTTAGTTATCAAATAATTTCAGATAGTAAAAAAATAATATATAATCAGGTAAGTATGAAATGATAAAAAAAATTTTTATTATTAACCAACTCATCATAACCTATACTATGAGTAATGAACCATTTAGTAAAGAAGAACTTACCAAAAAATACTCCAAACAAGCAGAATTATTAAAAACCTTAAGAATAAATATCTTAAAAGATCATTCAAACTCTCTTGCAAGTAATATTACAATACCAGAGCTAGAGAATTGTTATAAATGTAATGAAGAAATTTTGTTAAATCTACCCAAAGCATTTATTACACTTGTATGTGATCATATACTTTATTATGACTGTCTTGAAAAAAGTAATAGAAATAAGCAAAAAACTTGTCATATTTGTTTCATAAATAATAAAAAAACAACATCAGCTAAAGTTTAGAACATAGATATGTCAGAGGCAGTGAAAGATGAAGGTGAAAAAACCTCTAATCTAATGGGAGCAGTAAGTAAGTTATCCGTAGATGGTGGTAAAACTATCCCATGAAGTGAAACAAAATCCATAAAATCTAATAAAGTATAAAGTTTAATAAAAAAACTATCTATGCCAAATGAACTGATTGATAATAATGATAGAGGAAATAAGAGCAAAGAATCAAAACCAATAACTTTACTCCAGTTATACTATAATGCAAACCAGGCAGAAAAACATGTAACCTGTGCCTACCAAGAAGAAATAAGATGCTGATATCTGTTTGCTAAAAAATTTAAAGAAAGAGTTAAAGAAATAAAAAATAATAACAGTAGGTACAATGATCAACAAGCTAGAGAGTTAGTATATGGCAAAGTTGCAACCAATCTTCCGGGATTTACAAGAGATAGTTTGTGTAAAAAAACTGCAAAGGCTAGAAATATCTACAAGTTGTTTGGAGAAAGTTATAACCCTAATACCAAAAAAATAGTTAAGAGGATAGGAATTGAAAAAATTGAGAGAATTCGAACATATAGTGCTGATTATATTTCAAAGCTTAATTCTATACAAATTTATAATATTATAAAGCATTTTAATTAGTGCAGATCACGTCCCCCAAGTTGACGCCAACGTGATATAAATATTTTTTTATTAGTAAATCATATATACATATAATTACAGTATATAATTTAATTCATAATAAAGTTTATACATATCAATACTGCAATATTGTTAAATATAGCGATAGGCATTCAATCAACATGTACAGATCTTAACCTAAGGTTTATGCATGTGAGGCAGGGCATAAACATTACAGGCTTGTATAATAAAAATTTTTAGCCACATTATATTTTTTCTGTTAATATACGTATAATAATAATGAAAAATCCGAATAACATGTATACAAATAAAAATTACTTTGAAAAGTGGCATATCTTTAGAGGTTGGAAGCATGGGTGTAAGGTTTGTGACGAATGCAACCATCATTCGCATCTATATTGCAAAACATGTAAAAAAGTAGCAAATCGAATATATAAGCGATGTGAATGCGATAATTTTCTATAATTCACCCACGTAAAGATATTCATTAACATGTGTTAGAATAGTTCTAAAATTTATCTGTATCACCTTGCAAAGCTCATCGTTATGCATAACTTATTTGTGAGACAGGACACAAATAGAAATTGTTAACATTAGTACCCTAACCCGACAAATATTTTGAACTTCAGTGGTGTATAGACATATATATAGTACATTTTTCATGTGATTACTGCAGTCCCAAAATATTTATACAGTACCGGTAGTTGAAATGCAACTTTAAAATGGAAGGTCATAGAAATTCCGCATGCATAATTTATTTGGTTATTGCAGAACCCCAGAATAAATTCGGACAATTAAAACCTTATAGAAAGCCTATATGCGTTTATGATGTGATTGCTGTTTGAGTGCTCAATTTCTATTTAAAGCAAGTCTCAATATACTACCGAAAATATATTTATATTGACTAAAAAATGTTTTCCATACATTCTAAAATAGGTTCTTGACATGTTCCTTAATAATGATTTTTCTTATAGTGAATGATTCGAGTAATTTTTACACGTTTTCTCGACAGAATGTTCCCAGCGAAAAGGAGCTATCGGCTTGATATATAAAATACGCAAAATGTTTATATTTTTTCCCAAAAGTTTATTTTTTAAAATGAGCGAAAGTGAAGTTATTTTCGTTTTGGTGAGATATTCTACGAAAATGCTAGGGAACATCCTCGAGTGGGATGTAATCGAGATATTAAAAATGATCGGCTTTAAAAAAGTCGATAATTTTACGGGGAATGGTATGGAATATATCCATACAGGGTGAGTTTTCTCATTGAGTATTTGTCGAGTTATCGTGTATCTGAAGGTACGCTGTCACATCGGTGTAAATATCCAAGAGAATCGAAAGCACTTCGTGGCCAACAGTTCCGGCTGTTGAACGTTCTTCTCTTGGTTTCTCGATGTTCCTGAAATGACGCATGCTCTGTCAGGAATTAATGATGAATAGGATACACGCTAACTACTGAAAGCACATCACCGTAGAATATCCCGGTCCGGCGTGCATGTTCTTTAGTTGTTAATAATGATGACACATTCACTTATTTATTATAATTATCGTTGATAGGGGGACAAACGACGGCGGGGTAGACATAATTCTCTTTGTTGGAAGGATCAAGCTCGTGATCCAGTGCAAGAACTGGATTAATGACATAGGTTTGGTTTGGATTTTATGTTAATTAAGAAAAGGTTATTTATATGAATTATAAGTAATACAGGGCCTGCCGTCGTTAGAGAACTTAAAGGCGTTGTCTGTGACGAAGACCCGGATACAACGATCGGTATCCTAGTGTCCCCCTTTCTTAACTTTACGGATAAAGCAATAGATACAGCAAAAAAAATCCTATTTTCCTATCATCCTAACCGATAAATCTCATCTTCCCTTAATCATCCTTAATATCGCTCTCGACAATTTCCAAAATAGATCCTTTGAATTTCCTTTTTATCATGAACTTGTTTTTTCGCCATTAATTTCGTTACATACATACTTACCCCTGTCATTCCTTACATAATCCTTTTTTATTCCTTATATACCATTAATTACGTTCCTACTTTTTCATTCTTTAATATCAAATTTTTTATTCCTTATATAACCATTAATTACGTTCCTACTTTATGTATATTTTAATAATTTTTTTAGTAAAGAAATATAATCTAACGTATCTGACTTATTGATAAATACCAGTGTTGTTAATAACGAAGTGTTCTAAATCAAGGTTGGCCAAGTAACTCATATTATCTTTTTTTTTGTCAGAAAATTAATATCAGATCGAAGCCTCATTTTTGTCTAAATCGCAAATTCTGGTTTGTATTTTATCCTGTACTTTATTTTATATTAATAAAGCTGGCCCTGGTGGATACATAATTAGTCTACTTTTGCATGTGTATTTCGTGAATTTATTTTATTGTACCGTATTGATATCGATGTATATTAACCTGTATATGATCGAGAATTTTTTATCCAGTATATTATTTTTATTAGCTGAAAGCTAGCCGGAGGCTATATCAATAAAATGACCCTGATGGCTCATATACATATATATTCGTGTTTACTTTTGCTTATGTATTTTTTGGAATTTTTCTGATTTTTTCTTGGCATCGGCGTGAAGATTCTTCACGCGTACGTAATTTTCTGCTCGTATCTATAATCGCTACACGGAGCTAGTAACCTCGAATATGACACTTCTGTTTGCTAATTAGTAATTGCAAACCACAGTTAACCATCAAAATACCATTTAAAAATCATGGCACTTCATGCCTGGAACCTTGCTTTATTATAAAAATAATATATATATATTGCCGAAACGGCGTACAAATAAAAATTAATTTCTTGGGGGATCTACGTAAATATGAACGCCATTTTCATCGAGGGTAGAAGTAAAGTCTTTAGAAATTTTAATCATTGGTTTAAAAATAATACCATTGGGAGATGAACGTAGAATGATTTGAGTAGAAGGAATAGAATCAAATAAAGGTGCCAAGCGTTTTTTTACCATATGTTTGAGCAATTCATACTTTTATCTTCAGAAATTTCAATTGTAAAAACTTCATCTTCGGAGTATTTTCCTTTATCATTAACGAGGACACAGTTAAGGTTAATAATTGCCATTTTGGAGGGACTCTGCAAAAAATAAAAACCCATAGTTAATAGAAAGTAACGAAATAAAATCTCTTGTATAAACAATATATGATAACCGGACCTTGGAAGTAAATTGCGAATATGTAAAATTTTTTCAAAGACGACACGGCAAAATATATATATAAGAGCAACGTTATTGCTACCTAACTAATCTTATGGCGGGAACTTGCTTATTTTATACCGTTCATTCGCTAGATCTAAAAAACAGACTAACAGAAAAAAAATACGATTAGTAATTATGTTACCCTAACACAATCTAGATCCTGCTACATAAAGCAACTCCGCTCGGTCATAAGTTCCAAACACTGAGCCTATTTTGTTATTTTTTCTGGTAAAATTAACCCCCCTTAGATTCGACGATCGCTTAAGGTGGGTTTAGATCTGACGATCTCGGAGATGGCGGAGTTCCTGCAACATATGAATTTGGACCAAACTACTGATAAAGAACATTATACTCATTACCCTTATAGCCTTTTTAGGATGCAAAGCATCTCCTGCTTCGCAGAGTCCCATTCTTATCGCGGGATCGTATATAAAGGTCTAGTTATTCGTAAAATTGGTTAACGTTAACAGTTAAAAAATCGACGTTGGGAAAGTAATGCCAGGGTAAAAATTGCCACCCAAAAAAGTTTCGAAAATCATGTGATATTGTCAAATCATCATGATTAGGATCATTAAATATTAACATAATTATAGTAATTTTTTCCTCGATACTTCAGAGTGAAAGCGATTGTTAAAAACATAAAAATCCAATAAACACACTATTCTAAAAATATACGTTGATTGCTGTAACTAAATTTCCACTACTAATAAACGAAAAAAGAATGAAAATCGAAATAAAATTATAAAAACTAATCAAGAAAATGCAATTTCATCAGAAAATCTTGTAGATTTTATTTTATACCGAATACTGCCGATATTAATTACTTAACCGGATCGGCCGAAAAATCATTCGGCTAATTTTTGCCAGGCGTCCCAGCATTTATGATAACAGCTGTAAATTATAACAAGAGCTACGGCTCTTAAAAAACACAGTAATTCTATATAACGAACTTTTGTTTGGCCAGAGCTTAGGGTTCGGTATAGAAAGAGTTGACTGTACAATTTTTTCCAAAACAATTAAGCATCGATTTTCTATAAAATGATATTATACAGAAATTTTACAGATCATCATCATAAACTTTTATTGTTTTTACAATATACAACTCTAATTTAGTTAAAAAGAGTTAGAATAGATTTATTAACGGATCAATGTTATTTCATTTAATGCTTGAGAGGATAAAATCGAATTTGTGACTTCGCTTTATACCATCCATATTATATGGTAATTAAAAACTTATTAGTATAATTCGTTTCGACATTATAATTTAGGACCTAGACAAAAGATTATTTCAGATATTATTGTACGTAAAAAGATATTAATATGGTAATAATATGTTTGATGATTACCAAGCATTTTTTCGGGCCTGACCCATTCATCAAATTGGTTCTCTGTTAAGACTCCCAATTGAATGGCAGCTTCTTTAAGCTTTATCAATTGAAATTATAAATTTCATGATTAAACTTTATTTTGAACATGCTAATAAAAATTAACGTAGCTTAAAAACTTACTGTTAAATTTTCTTTATGCGCCTTCTTGGCCACAGAAGCAGCTTTATCATAACCTGAATTATTTAATCATCAGAAAAATTAAAATGAAATATCAATGCAAGAAAATTCATACTTAATCCCTTACCAATATGGGGATTAAGTGCAGTCACAAGCATCAAACTTTGATTCATAATGTCATTTATCTAGAAAAAATTTTAGGTTAGAGAAGGCCACATTTAAGATAATAAGGATGAAAAAATAATATTAACCCTTTTTTCATTCGCCTTTATTCCTACAATACAGTTTTTCGTGAAAGACTCACTTGCATCACTCAAAATTCGGATTGAATGGAGGAGGTTTTTAATCAACACTGGTTTAAAAACGTTTAGCTGAATAGATTTACATTTAACGAAAGGTTAAAGTTTCATAAAGTGCATGTTATTAAGATATTTAAATAAAGTTAACGAACTTCGAAATGACCGTTTGAGCCAGAAATTGTAATGGTGGTATTATTTCCCATAACTTGAGCTGCCACCATTGTAATTGCTTCGCATTGTGTTGGATTAACTTTACCAGGCATAATCGACGAGCCAGGCTCATTTTCGGGGAGTGAAATTTCACCAAACCCACAACGAGGGCCAGACCCTTTTCATATCAAGATTTCATATGTCAGAATACAATGTATACTTTTGATGTCTCTTGGCTACTCACCAAGGAAACGAATATCATTAGCAATTTTCATTATAGACACTGAAACAACGTTAAGAGCACCGCTAACTTCTACTATGGCATCGTGAGCTGCCAGTGCTTCGAACTGAAATAATACCATTTAATAAGCTTTTTTTTTTTAAAAAAAAAAAAATTTGAGAACCATGTTTTCGCATTATTCGCATAATAATGTCTAACCTTATTTGGAGCTGTCTGGAATGGCAATCCGGTGATTTTTGAGATTTCGGCAGCAATTTTAACATCAAATCCTGGGGGAGTATTCAGCCCCTAACGAGTTTTTAAATAACTTATAATTAAGAATCACTAATAATTTACGCACATAGAATATAGGTAGAATAATGATACTTACAGTGCCAACAGCAGTACCCCCTTGTGCGAGATAATATAGTCTTGAAATAGTTGCCTTGATACGTTCGATTCCAAATTCCAACTGTTGAGCGTATCCGGAAAACTCATTTCCAAGAGTAAGCGGTGTAGCATCCTGAAGTTTTACAAAATTAAACAGTATTTCTATACAACTCAATATTTGATGTTTCTCTTTTCATACCTGCAAATGTGTTCTTCCGATTTTGATTATGTTTGTAAAACTTTTTGACTTTTCGAAAATGGCATCATGTAGATGCGTCAAAGCAGGAATGAGTCTCTTGTTTACTTCTATGGAAGCAGACACATGCATTGCGGTGGGAAAACTAAATTACAAATCATATCAAACACTGGTAAGAATGTATAATATAAACGAACTCAAAGTCAATTTTGCAACAGCATATAGCTCACGTGTCGTTGGAAGACTGGCCCATATTCACGTGGTCATTGGGATGTACAGGCTTTTTGCTACCAAGCTGACCACCCAGAATTTCGATGGCACGATTCGCAATGACCTATAGCATAATCAAGTTATACGATTGTAATTATTATATTTAAAAATCGGTCCTATACCAACCTACCTCGTTAACATTCATGTTAGTTTGTGTCCCGGATCCAGTCTGCCAAACGACCAATGGAAAATGATCCAGAAGTTTTCCTTCGATTACCTAAGTAAAAAGAGTTGAGTTTTCTTAATTTTTCCCTATTAATTTATTAGCTTACTTCATCCGCGGCTTGGACAATGGCATTGCCTATCGTTTTGTCAAGGCCATAAGACATATTAACAGTAGCAGCAGCCTTCTTTACGATACCAAATGCTTTTATTAAAGGTTCAGGCATACGTTCAGTGGGTCCGCCGATATTGAAGTTTTGGAGAGACCTTTCAAGATGATCTATATCAGATTTCATCATTGAGAATAAGTGCTAAGTAGTGTCAATACCTTTGTGTTTGGGCCCCCCAGTATCGGTCCGCAGGGACTTCAATTTCGCCAAAGGTATCTTTTTCGATTCTATATTTTTGCTGAAAAGACATTACGTTTAAAAATAGTGATCAGGGTGCGGTGTAATGATAATCCTCCATCGCCATATATATATATTGAAATATGAATTCACGTGATTTCAATCTTCATGTCACATTTTCTAATTATCAAATTTTTAACAAAGCGACAGTAAAATAGATGAAATCTACCCGTTGGTACGTAGCGATACTGAATTTTCGTGAGTTCAAGCGAACAACCTAATGTAGTAATTAGCATATCTTAATACATAAAAATGGATGGCTGCGTATGTAGCAGAGTGAACAACGCATACAGGCATTATTCGCATATATGTAATATTTAAACTCCTCATCATTTTGGCGATAGTTTAGAAAAAAAAACAAAAAGATCGAAATCATTCTTAGTTCGGAATGATTTTAGTGAAATTTGATGTACATGCATGTAAATCATTGCATGCGATAATATATACACATCTAAGATCTCTACGATCTAATGATAATCAGTGGGTTTTCTTCTGGTTTTCTGCAAAAATTATACGATAACGATAATGGCTACGGAAAGGTAATTGCAAGATACAAATAGAATCAAAATGCATTTTTACACAAATTTGTTACCATAAATCAAAAATCTTCAATCACATATGTGTATATTTTCAACTTCGTACAAAAAAGGAAGATTTTACTCATTGGTTCTGGTTTTGTTGCTCGTCCAACAGTTGAATATATCTTACGTCGTCCAGAGAATCATTTGACTATTGGTAAATTTCATTTAAAATTAAAAACATTATTAATAACAGTTAAATTCATCTGAGATAGATTTGTATAATAATATTTTCAGCTTGCAGGCGCATATCTCATGCTGAAACTCTTTCTCGATCATTTCCCCGGGCGACATCAATTTCACTTGATGTTGCCAATGAAAAAGCTCTCGATGCTGCAGTTTCAGAACATGATTTAGTCATCAGGTATGTTAATTTGAAAATTTACAAATTGTAATGTTCGACCATACAACATTCTTACAAATTAACATTTCCCACTAGTCTTATTCCGTACACATTTCACCCTCTTGTGATCAAATCTGCCATTAAATTCAAAAAGAATATGGTCACGACTAGCTATGTATCACCTCAGATGAAAGCCTTTGATGCAGAGTAAGTCAATTATTACTGTCACTCCATTATCAAATGACACTGAATATGATCTTGAATTCCTACTTATAGAGCCAAAGAAAATGGGATAACTATCTTGAATGAGATAGGTCTCGATCCTGGTGAGAAATTATTGCGAAATATTTGAGTAATATATTTACTGTAATTTAATATCTAGATGATTTATATATCCAACATATCAGGTATTGACCATCTCTATGCAGTTAAAACTATAAATGAAGTTCACGAGGCTGGGGGAAAAGTAAGTTTAATATACATAAATGTCATCTTTATAATGTTGAATAAGATTTATTTATACTACATCGTGATTTATAGATTGTATCTTTCATTTCTTATTGTGGGGGGCTTCCTGCGCCTGAAGCATCTAATAATCCTCTTGGATACAAATTTAGCTGGTCTTCGCGTGGTGTACTATTAGCATTACGAAACTCCGCTAAATTCTTCTTAAATGGGGAGGTAGGTTAGAAGCAAGTTTATAACATTTCTCTACTGTCAGTAATATAAAAACTAATCTCCAATTTTGGGATCCTTTTTTATAAAGATCGTGGAAATCTCTGGAACACAACTTATGTCATCTGCAAAACCTTATTTTATTTATCCAGCATTTGCATTCTGGGCCTATGCAAATAGAGATTCTACTCCTTTCAAAGAATTTTACAACATACCCGAAGCTAAAACAATTATACGTGGTACCTTGAGATATCAGGTTTATGTTAGATTTATATATATATATATATTTTATTTACTACAAATGTAGAATCAATATAAATTTTTGTTTATTTACTTTAGGGGTTTACTTCTTTTGTTAAAGTTTTGGTTGACATTGGTATGTTAGATGATTCTGAAAAAAATTACCTGTTTCCTGGCGCTCCTGAGATTGCTTGGGTAATTATCTTTATAGTTAAAAAAGTATACAAATATATTGTACTCTAACGTTAAAATACATCAACTCATGTAGAAAGATGTTCTTGCCAAAGCACTTGGAATATCCAGTAAATCTGAGTCGTAAGTTTGGATATCCTTTGTCGTAATAAGTTAAATCTATAAAAGTTCTAATAAAATCGTAAATTATAAGTGACCTTCGCAAACATATTACTCTTAAAGTATCTGAAGTTTCTGGTGAAGATCTTGAACGAATTTTCAAAGGTTTCAAATGGCTAGGTTTGTTTTCTGACGAAAAGGTTCATCGTAAAGGTACGTTACTTGATACCCTTTGCGCTACCTTGGAAGAAAAAATGCAATATGGAGAAGGAGAAAGGGATATGGTCATTCTACAACATAAATTTGAGATCGAAACCAAAACTGGAGAAATGGTATTTATGCATTGCTTAAAAATGGTTTACAGTTTGAGAAATTATTTTTTCACAATTCTTTGGTCAATAACAAAGGAAACTTGGACTTCAACCCTTCTGGAATATGGTAACCCTCCTGGTCCATCTGCAATGGCTAGAACAGTCGGAATTCCATGCGGAATTGCTGTACAATTGATTTTAGATGGTAAGCTGTTAAAATATTTTATCATTTTTTAACGCACCACAATGAATATGCAATTTTAATAATAATACACATTCATTTTAAAGGCGTAATTAATCAAAAAGGCATTCTCAGACCTTATACACCAGAAATAAATAATCCAATAATTAAAGCTTTAGAAGAAGAAGGAATCAGAGTTATTGATGAGAAATTATAAAAAAAACCTTATTTATACTTTCTTTTTGGTTTTAAAATATAATTTAAACATGTCAAGTACAAACAAATCTTAGAGCTAATGAAATAGAGTAACAAATTGCCTTGATTTGTTATTATAAAGAGGAGTTATAGACATTGAAAGTGTTAATTGGTAATCATTAAATCACAGTAACTAAAGCTTTATAGGACATCTTTTTTTATAAAGGCTTAAAATGTTGTTTATAATAAAAATTATAGTAAAAACATATGAATTTACTATCTTTTAAACTGTAAGCAAATTAGGAGCAAATTTGGTTTTAAGTTTTGTTATAAATTAATTTTTGATCTATTTTTTTGATAGAAGTTTAGTTCGCATAACTGTCACCTGTGTTACGCATGCATAATTATACTTGCTGGCCAAATCCCAAACTACTATAGTTTGAGTTTGTCCGCACCCAAATCCCAATCCTTGGCCAAATTAATTTCTTAAAATTTTTATTACTAATCTTCATTTAAATAAACAGTATATATTCTTATGGTCATGTATAATATATCTGCAAATTTAAAGATTATTTTTTTGATTCAAATTTTATAAATGCTATCTATTATTTTAGGGTTTGGATTTGTTCAACAAATATATGCATAATACGTAATATGTAGAGAGGTATTACATACATATAATAAAATGCATTTAGGTTCGTTTAACTACAAAGTTAGAAGCTTAACGATTAAAACTTTAAAGTTGATCTTGGTGTACCTACATACCCACGCAACTATTGTGTTTCTTGTACAGAGAAGGTCGGAAATAAAGTTTGGATTAATGCGAAAGTTAAGAATAGAACGGTTGTATAAGGCAAGCTATATATTCGAATTTACGAATGCTTACTTGTGAAGCTTTTCCTGTGTGTTTTATACACATTGCATTGAACAGATACTCTATAACAACTATGTTAGTTTCTTTTGTTAAAATTTTATTTAAAATAACACCTTGGTACTGGCCGTATTTAACTCGGTTCAAAAGGAGAAAACGCATACATTGAAGTACTCCATCATAATCTCTTTGAATTCTATTTTTATATAAAGGAAATGGAATCAGTAAATTGAGGTTTCTAGTTTCAATTCTTAAGATGATTTTGTTGATAATGATTCATTTCTAACAGAGGTATTGTATTGTAGGTGACAAATTTAATTAAAGGTTTCACATTAAATCTAACTAATCTGAATTTTAAATTTTTCTAAATGATATTAACTTGCAATATTACAATATGCTATATCTAACAAAAATCTTATATTATATTAAACACAAAAATTACAAAATTCGATATTAATCTTATTGCTAATTGATAGTATATAGAAGGCTTTTAAGATTAATATATTTAATAAAATTTTCAAAAAAATTAGTAAAAATAATAATACAATTTTAAAGTTTAATAATAATAAGGGAAATATTACTTATTATATAGATATATTTTTTAAAAAAATGTCAATTGACGGTGTTTCACATCTAAGAATCAATTTTTTGATAATTACAAGTTTTAAAGTAATTAATAATAATTATATTATTAATTATTTTAAAATTTGTAATTGTCAAAAAATTGATCTGAAGTGTGAAACACAGTCAATTAACATTTCTTTAAAGGATATATCTATATAATAAGTGACATTTTTCTAATTATATAATAAATAATTTATTTATTTTTTTTTTTATATTTTAAATTGAATAAATGTTCTTATAACAACTTGGTATATAGAATTGTGACAATCTAGTGAAGTAGACAGATTGTTAACTTCCAAGTAACAGATTTAGTATTCAAATTTCACAAATAACAAATTTTGAAAATTATATTAGTATTATGGCAACTGTTTCTAGTTAATTAGTTAGATTTATGTGTCTATAATCTTTGATATATCAAATTAAGTTTCACTTAATATTGAAAGCTTAGAACATCTATATGAAGTATAATATTACATTTATATAAAAGAATATTAAAACTGATGTTGTATAAAACTTTATTTTATTTTTTTTTAAATATTAAGATGAGTATATGTGACTCAGGATTTTATTGATAGTATATATTGGCTAACATCTGTTAATATAACAGATACAGAAGCAATCATAAAAAAGATGTACAACTAGTCATTTATATAACTTTAGTTATTGTCTAATTTAAGTAGTCCACCCAAAGGTTCTACACTAGTTGCTATACCTAGAACTTACTTGTAGGTCTTTTATTTAAACACTCTGATCCTGTATTCATCACACTCTATTAATGACTTCAGTAAACTAGTAAAGATATATCATGATCACTAAGTCATACTTAACTTTGTATTAAATCTACTAAAGTATTCTGTATCTTATATTTACAGCTTACTTAGTATTACTTTGGCTTAAACCATTATTTGCAATTAGGACTAACCATTAAACTACTATATTCTTATAAGGTTTATTCAAAACCCTGATACTTATCTTTCTAATGTCTTCTTCATTATCTTCTATTAACTGCTACTTAGGACTAATAGAACTTTCCAAACTTCCAATCCAGATAGTCTGATGTGGTATATCTTAGTATCCTTTTCTTTTAGTAATTCTGACAATCTGGTTGGTTATATACTCCTCTATAAATCTTGTCTTTCAGTTTATTTATCTATCTTTTTGTAAGTGTTTTATGGATTTTTATCAGTTCAATGACATTATTAAAGTTTTGTACTATCTTTTTACTTGAGATTTCTGACTCTTTAGTTTTTTTATTTTCTGTAACTGGTGATCTTATCATAGATTTGCATCAAGATCTTATGCAATACCAGTTATTAACATTTCTCTATGTAGGTCTAACATTACACTTTGTATAGATGCTCTGAGCCCTATTTGAAATAGTGCAACTGAAGGTTACAAATACATCAATCCAACCAATTGATAGAGACAGTTATTATAACACAAATATATTTTTCAAAATTCATTATTTATAAAATTTGAACTTTAGACTTGTTACTTGGAAGTTGACAACCTGATCACTTCACTAAGTTATCATATCTCATTGTATAAGACTTTATAATAAGATCACTAAATATAAAAAATTAAGAAACTAAAAAATTAGAAGTTTACTTAAAAATTCTAAATAAAAAAACAATACAAACTTTTAACAATGTTTTTTAGTTAATTGAAATCTATAGATTTTTTTAAAACAATAGATAAATAAACTAAATAACAGATATATAAGATAAGTATATACATTAATTAGATCATTAGAATTATTAAAAAAAAAGAATACATAAGTATATTATACTGAATTATTTGAATTAGTAATTTGAAAAGTCTTATTAGTCTTAAATAAAAGTTAGTAAAAGATAATAAAGAAGATGTTAGAAAAATAGATATTAGAATTTAAATAAATTTTATAAGAATATAGTAGTTAATAATTAGCTTTGACTACAAGTGCTAGTCTAGACCAAAGCAATACTGAATTAATTATAATTATAAGATACAGAAGTTTTTAATAAATTTAGTACAAAATTAAAAGTTTCTTAATAAGTAAACTATTTTAAAAACTTTATAATCATAGTATATTTATATTAGTATTAATTAGCTAGTAAATAGAGAAACTAGATAGTTAGATATACAGAAGCTAGAATGTTTAAATAAAAAACCTATAAGCAGGTTCTAAAAATAACAACTAGTATAGAACCTTTATATAAATTATTATTATAATTTTTTTTTTTTGGTATTAAGGTAACCTCTTTGGTCTTTTAACTTTTATTAATCACTTATTGGTATTGTGGTTTAATAAACCACTACAGAAGAGTGTACAATTGGCTACACATGTAACTTTTCTATATTATCTATTTAAGAAGTCTGCCCAAATGTTTCCTACTAATTGCTGTATCTATCATCACTGTTTGGATGTTTCACTTTAAACTCTCTGAATCTGTAACCTGTATTAACTTACTAGATTATACCCAGATCATCATCTCAACCTTAGGACTAATTTATCTTTGAGGTAAACCTTCAGAGTCTTCTGTACCTATTTTTACAGCTAACTTAGGTATTACTATGGCAGAACCAACACTTGCAGTCAGGTCTAACCATTAAACTACTATGCCCTTGTAGAGTTCATTTAGACCTTAGCATTTACTTTACAGCATAACCCCACTACTTTAAATACTTCTGCCTTTTTATTTGTCTTTTTACCAAACTTCCAATTCAGATAGTTTGTGTAGGACTCTGACCAGTTTATCAGTATATTGGGTTAGCCTGATATTCTTTTCCTTTAGTTTGTTTTAATAGCTGGTTGGTGGTACCCTCAAGGCTTCCAATTCAGAGATTTTTGCCTGTCTGGCTACTATGACTGAGTACTATAACCTTGATATTCATTTTTCTGAGCTAGCCTTTACAGTAGAGCTGTCAAAGATCCAACTATTTCTCTACTCAGATCTTCCCAAATGGACTTTTTGTTACCTAATTTTAATGGATTTACATAGCCACAAGGACTTATCTAGTGTTTGCACTGCCTGATTTGTTGGTTTGCATTTATCTGTGTAATGTCATACTTATACGGATGTCCTATAACCTGCTAGTCATGCTGGTGTAACTGCCATTACAGATATCCTAACCTAATAATTAAGTAACAGTTGCTATAATATAAATATTATATAGGTGATTATCCAAATTTTTGCTATTAATAAGATTTGAACACCCAACCTACCACTTGAGGGGTTGACAAACTGACCATTCACTAGGTCATCACACTCTTTTTTATTGCTTTATTGTTAAATTGTATTAATAAAATAACTTATAAATATATTGATACTTACTAAGCTATACCAATTTTTTTTTTCTGTTACTTTTATTAATAATAATATTAGAAAACATTGGACTTTTATAAAAATTTGATGTAGTCTGAATTATATTAGTGTTTCCTAAAAAATCTAAGAAAATATCTTTATATGATTATCATCAATAAGGGATATACTGATTCTTCAAAGAATTTATCAAGACTTGTTAGCAAATTTTGAAAACCTTCAACT